AGTACACAGCAATATTTTTCTTAAGACAAATTACCGAGTCATGGTTTTCATAACTCCAGTTGTAACAAGTAAGTGTTATTTTTATTATTTTCATATGCCTATATAGAGTTTTAGTCTATTAGTTAAGTTAATTTTTGTATTTTTATCACAGAAACTACTATAAGCTATAAACAATGTCATTTTAAAATTGACTTTTAATTCAATTATTTGTATTTCTATTAAGTTTTAATGGAGAGATAACATACCAAAAAATTTAATTCAACAACAAATCCATGAATTTAAAATAAAATTAAAATTTTGTAGATTTTACATTGGTTTCCTATAGTGTAAATTTTTGTTCTAGAATGGCCATTTTTTACTTACTTATATCTTGGGGATTTTCAGGTACTGATGATGTGGTGAAGGTATGGAACCCTATGAAGAGAGGATGCTACTTTGAGAGGGAGAGGTATCTCCGTTACTTCCACATCTACACGCAGCGCAACTGTGAGAGGGAGTGTGATTCTAACAACACCTACGCTAACTGCGGCTGCGTCTCGTTTAGCCACCCTAGTAGATATCACTTTTTTATGTAACATTTGTATATATCCACTCCATGAGAATTAATTTGCTTACGTTTTCTCTAAAGGAGAGGTCTAAACTCTGGTATTTTCCTAAATTTTTTTAAACGTTTGTGAATTTGACAGTATAGAAATTGACATCAACCTCTTGTGGTTTAATTCAATTATGTTATTTTCACTTTACGTCTAAAACTACAGCTTTAACATGAAAATAGAATGTATACTTCTCTTAACAGCCAAAGAAAATATGCTCTTAAGTGTAAGATATAAATATGAAACTAATTTTACAAATTTTTCAGGAAATTTATCAATGCCGCTTTGTGGTCATAGCAGACTGCTATGTGTGGAGAAAAGTCAATGTAAGTCATAACTTTTATTACAATACATAGTTTAAATAATTCATAACAAATTATATGTATAGTGGATATGGTGTATTTAAAAATCTAAAATATTAACCTAGTGTTAGAATATAGTCAAGGTAATTTTTAAGTACTGAAATGGCTCAATACTCTCGGTATCATTACCATTATCAATTAGAGATGGGGACGCCACCTAGGTGTGTACTTTGACCCAATGAGTGAAGCATGTGTGAATAGACTACTGTAACATGATCTGTGTAGCTTTTGCACTGACTAAATCAGCTGTTTCCTTAGTAAGGATAATTTATTTAAAGCCCTGTGATCAGCAACAGATGGATTTAGTTTACAACCAAACCATCAAAAAGCTACTGACTTTTCTAAGGTTCAGGCAACCTTTTGTCAGGTGAGCACTACTGAGTTTGCCAAAGTGTTGTATGTTTAAAAGTCATTTTTTGTTAAAGCTATGATGATCAAGCAGGAGATGCGATTGAAAGGCAAGGATAACTGTCAATGTCTTCCGTCGTGCAACGAGATAGACTACTTTCCGGAGATTCACTGGCGACCCTGGGAGTTCATGGTTAATTCTTCCTTCGCCACCATCCCTGGAAAAGTGGACCTCAAGTAAGGCCTCAAACATCTGTTTGTGGAAAAATGAAAGTGCCCAATTTTACAGCCATTGAGTTAATAGAGTCTGCCGGTTTGCAACAAAATTTTAAATGTTAACCGTTATGCATGGATGAGCGTGTTTAATGACAAAGACGGTTTTGTTGAATTTTCTAGATTCATTTTAGATTCAATTTTCTAGTCAATTGCCCAGCACTGTTGGATTTGAAACTGTGTCATATAGTGGTAAAGATAATAGAATAATGATATTTTCTTAATTTCAGCACAACTTCAATTTCCCTCCTGGCCATTGCGGTAAAAAAGAAGTACATGAACATGACAAAAAGAACTGCTTTAATGGGTTCTGCAGCATATGTTGGTGAGATTTATTTAGCCCATTAATAGATAGTTTGATAGTTTAATAGATAGATAGCTTGTGTAAAATTTGATAACTAAAAGTGTATATGTACCAGGTATTGGTTTAGTTTACACTATTTCAAAAGTAGTAGTCCTCAATTATAAGAGATGTAACCTTATATTTTACAGATAAAAAATATATTGATAAAATTTGTGGTACAACCTTTATTGCTGTATTGTTAAAATGTCAAATAAAACCCCCCAGATTTAAAGGAAAATAAAATTGTCTCGGATTACAGAATTGATTACAGTGTTACACCGTGGTTATTTTAACAGGCATTTGATGAAAACATTCATTTAGCTTGGGTTTTTCAGCCAGCATTGGAGGGATTTTGAGTCTTTTCCTTGGCATCAGCGTGTTGAGCCTCTTCGAAGTTCTGTACTTCATTACATTCCGTGCGATAACCAACATCTGGAACGTTTATAAACAGGAACACCAACTGGAGATGAACCAAAGAACATTGTGGGCGTTCCGAAGCAGGAAAAATCCTTTCATACCTTAATTGTTCAAATAATTATCATCAAAAACAATTATAGTCTAGTTATATTTTTTGATTGTTTTACCTATACCAAATGTGACATTAGTGCGATAGTTTATTATGAGTTTACCTTAGACGATTCATCAGTTTTCAAATAAATTGATAAAGAATGTGGCTTTTTGTTTTAATTAAGATGTAATCAGTGAATCATCCAAGCCTTGGTCAATAAAAATTTACTATTAGTAATAATTGATGTTAGATCAGTAAGATTATGATAACATCTTAACCGAATACATACCTCGACCTTAGATTATAGATTATACCTTAGAGTAGGAATTTCAACATTTTGTAAAAGAATAAAGGAATAAAGTCTAAAATCAGCAAACTGTATTAACTATGGAAATTACCAAAATAAAATTATATGGAATCCTAATCGAACTAATTTCCATCTTACACTATAGTGTATTTTGCTAACATGTGTTGTTTTATGTAAAGTCTTTTGGTGTTAATTTAAGGGAATGAAACTTGAAAAAATAACTAAATATAACTTAGAGATAAATTAAACATAATTTTTGAAAAACGAAGCATACACAATGTAATAAATGCCTGTTAGATATAATTTTTATCTATAACATTTAGATGACTATGACTAATAGGAGGCTTTTTGTTGACGTTTCTGAACAGGAGAGTTTTTTCCGGGATAAGGTTGTAAGCCTTATGCCTAACCTTCAACCTGGAGGACCAGGGTATCCCTTATTGTCTGGCTCCTACCTCACGTAAAACCATCATACAACCTGTAGTATTGTATGGGTCAGAAGTATGGGCAATCTCAAAACAGGCTGAAAAAAAGCTGATGGTGTTTGAAAACAAAATTTTAAGGTGCATCTATGGTCCCATAAATGAAGATGGAATATGGAGAATACTCACTAATAAAGATATTCGAGAGCTTTACAGAGACCCGGACATAATAGCCCAAATCAAAAGTAGAAGACTCAGGTGGGCAGGCCATATCGCAAGAAGAGAACAAAATGCAACAGTTAAAGCGATAAATGAAGGACTACCATGAGGAAAGCGGCCCTTGGGACGACCACGACTTCGCTGGAAGGACCGGGGTAGCGGATTTCTACCCCCGGATATTTACCCCCATGAAAAAACGCCTACGTCATTTTGACGTCACGAGGGGCGGGGCCTATACACGATCGAGAAACAGCCCGCGACTGGAAATCTACCCCCGGACATCTACCCCCGGACATCTACCCCCGGACATCTACCCCCAGACATCTACCCCCGGAAATCTACCCCCGGACATCTACCCCCGGACATCTACCCACGGACATCTACCCCCGGACATCTACCCCCAGACATCTACCCCCAGACATCTACCCCCGGAAATCTACCCCCGGACATCTACCCCCGGAAATCTACCCTCGTGGTCAGCTACGCTACGTATCGGCCAAGATGCATTGTTGTAATTTATTTTATTAATCGGTTTATGTAAATAAACGGCTCTTCGGTTATTCATTAGCTTCTAATATCCAGTATAAAGTATGCGATATGTTGTTGTCATGTTTAACATGTACATTGAATAGGTACAGTATTTTACATATTTGATTTACGTAGCTAAATAAGTCTATAACAAATAACATTTATCTTATGTTATTGGAATTAAAACAACTACAAGATTATGCAGTTTAAAAAAACTAGGTTTTCTGAAATCAATATGTTTTTCCTAAATATGATATTATGAATATGCTTTCTTATTATTTACTTTTAAATATTTTTTATGATATCATCGTTTTAGTGACACACCTGTTGTGTTGGCAACGACGTGGGGTATATTATTGCCCAAGAAGAATAAAGTATTTTTTGAGTTATCGTTTTACAAAAAAAGTTAATTCGAATAATAAGCTAATGAATAACCGAAGAGCCGTTGACTTACATAAACCAATTAATGAAATCAATTACAACAATGCATCTTGGCCGATACGTAGCGTAGCTGACCATGGGGGTAGATTTCCGGGGGTAGATGTCCGGGGGTAGATGTCCGGGGGTAGATGTCCGGGGGTAGATTTCCAGTCGCGGGCTGTTTCTCGACCGTGTATAGGCCACGCCCCTCGTGACGTCAAAATGACGTAGGCGTTTTTTCATGGGGGTAAATATCCGGGGGTAGAAATCCGGCGACCCGAAGGACCAAGTGGAAAAGGACTTGAGAAGATTGGGGGCAGAGGCTCAATGGATGCAAGACAGAGAGAGATGGCGAGGCATAGTTGGCAAGGCCAAAAACCTTCTGAGGTTTGAGTGGCCTAATAGGTAAGGTAAGGTATGACTAATAGGAAATAATATCAGTATATTATTTGCATCCTTACGATATTTACATCAGAAATGACTCTTATTCTTTCTTATCCATGTTAACTTCAAAAAAAAAATTTTAATCTGTTTGAATATCTATTTATTAAGTGTTTATATCGTTACTTGTAGAAACAATATTAAAAAATAAACTTGGTTTTCATTATCTAAAGGTTTAGTTGTTCTTGAATGATAGCCTCTTAAGATCTGGTTATTGTTGAGAAAGATAATGTCAAATGTTACTGATTGTGGATAGATACGTCGGAATTAATCCTATGCAAATTGAACAACCTTCTTCAATCAGTTTTGTGAGAATTGCTTTAAAAAATATCAGTGAAACGCAATAAAATGTAAGTATAGTAGATTCGAGTTTTGTTTTTTAAACATGCATTAAATAAACTTACACAAAATTTAGCTTTAAAAAATTGTTTTTATAGTTGAAAACACTAGTTGAATGTTTCTAATTTTAGTAACTCTTAATACTCCTTTGGAGGTTTAATAGCTTATAAAGTTTGGCTTGATTTCTTAGTCGTATTTCACAAGAGTTTAGTTTTGTTTTAATCCGTAATGTACATATTTAAAAAAAAATGTGCGATGTTAAATGAGTATTTTATAACCTCTATACCATTTGTTTAGTTTAACACATTAATGGAAGAATATCTTTAATAAAAATACGTTTGTCCTTGCCTAGATCACCAAAAGATTTTAATTCTAGATGCGGATCAACAGTTTAAATGGAAACTACTGTGTCAACATTATCACACACCAAATTGCCTTTTTGTGATAAATGAGATTTGAACGTGCATACTTCTTCAAGACGCACGTCTTCTAAAAGACTTGTGTATTGATTTCTGGTTTGTTAATTAGACTAATTGCACCCTGTCAAAATCAATAACCCAAATGAATGTTACAGGTTCATCAAAGGCGGTTTTGTTGTTTTTAGCATTCTTCTTGGACTCCTTAAACTATCAGAGCAGAAAGTAAGTTGATATGAATAGCTTACTTTTAAATTTTAATTTTACCCAAGATTTACAGATGTTTTATTTTACATTACAAAATACAAAGTGTCATTTTGAGTCAAATATTTTTGGGTGTCGAAAGAACAAATAGCAGTGTGTAAGAAGGTTATCTGTAAACAGGCTAATAACAAGCTTCCAATGCGGTAAAGGGAGCTAGATAAAATCCGAAATCAGCTTCTACTACTACTTCTTGACTTCATTCACCAAAATATTCTATGTGGTCCTTTTGCGATACAACGATCCATCTTGTCAAAATAGCCAATGATAATGTGAGCGAAAACCGACAAACCTGCTAAGTACTATCCCTCTCTTGTGATTAGATTTCTATGGGACAAGAGTCAAACTCTAACTCCTCTTTAGGTTTTCAAAGCAGAAAATGAACAGCTGAAGTACTTCACTACAGCTGATTTTATTTAATGAGGAAATTGGCATGAGTGAAATTCCAATTGTAGCTGTGTTAATGGTACAGATCAGCTGTTTCTTTTAATCAGTACCATCAATAAATACAAACCCTAAGAAGCTAAATGCTTATGGAGAATAGTCAGAATAGTCTCCTGTTCAGCTGTTCCATAAGGATGGGAAATCTACTTAGGGAATATGTTTTATCTGGCTTTAAAATATTGATTGAAGAAGAAATCAAATCTATATACAGCCATGAACAAAGAAATGTTGCCATTTTACATTAACTGCTGTATGGGCTATTAAATGACAGCTGTGTCTAAGGAACATGTCGGCCTTAGTCACTAACAAGACCACAAGATCGCGCTACTCATATTTGGGTTAAAATACGCACATAGTGGCGTCCCTATCTTAAATAATTGATATAATTGAAACTGCTAACAAATAACTTACACCTTTCAAAAACTATTGTTGAACGTTTTTATTTTTCAGGAAACTCTTAAGATCACTGTGTACTATGAGACATACTGTCCAGACTCAATTGATTTTATTCAAAAACAGTTGACTCCACTTATGGGAGAGTTCAATAGGTATCCTGACTGGCTGGAAATAGACCTTGTTCCGTTTGGTAAAGCTAAGGTAATGTAATATTAAAACAAATGCAATGTTTTTATACAAAATTGTATTTCAGGAAACATTAAAGATCACAGTTTACTATGAAACTTACTGTCCAGATTCAATTGGTTTCATACAAAAACAGCTGACTCCACTTATGGGAGAGTTCAACAAATACCCTGACTGGCTTGAAATAGATCTTGTCCCCTTTGGTTTTGCTAAGGTATTCACAATTTATGTTTTTAGCTTAGACTGTTTTTGTCAAGAGGTCTTTAAGATGGTATATTACAAGTTTTAAAAATTGTAAAAAATACAAAAGAGACTACAACAAAAAACCAAAATAACTAACTGGGTACTAGTTTGTTGTGATTTAAATTTAGGATTTCCCTTAAAAAATTGATATAAAAAAATATCTTTTTACTTATTTATACTTTTGGTCAACCAAGAAAACTAATTTCATCATATTGTCAGGAAACAGCCGGTTTTAGTTCTCTAAATTGTCCGCAAAATCATCGTTTTCAGTTCATTTCAAAGAGGGAACAGAAAAACATATGGTACATTTTTCGCTTCACTAACCTCGAAATTTGTTTGCAAATGCTAATCACACGATATTTTAAGTTATGTTTGTAAACAACAGAAATGTAAACATTGATGACAACTTTGTATAACCTCAAATTATGGGGTGTAATTTTGTAACGATTAGAAGGTTTCCACAGTATGATGAAAATGGTTGTTCATCACACGGAGCGAAAGTGTCTTTTTGGTACTTATTTGTATCATAAAACACGATCGCATACCAAAAAGAGCCGTTTTAGTTCCTAGTTATGAAAACTACTATTTCATTATTTTACATTCAATGATTTTTTTTAAAGTAATTTAACCATTTTCATGTTGATTCCAACTTTAGGTCAACCAATAAAAAATATTTTGGTTCCTTTTTCAATAACTAATTAGATTTTATGGTTAACTGATAAAAATATATTGCATTTGCCAGGAATTATTAAGGAAATAAACAGGAAAGCAGGCTTACCTTTAAAAAAGTCCATAGAGACACATAATATATACCGGTACAACATATATTAAAGGTAAGCCTGTTTTCCTGTCAATTTCCTTAATTATTAGATTTTAGTAAGTATTTCCCGATACATAACTATATTGTTTTATGATGTAGTTAGTATGGTAATAACATGTTGATCTTTTTCACACAGGAGGTTGCACACTTGGAGTTTGAATGTCAACACGGACCAAAGGAATGTTTGGGTAACAAACTGAATGCTTGCGCTATCAAAAGTTTAGTGACTCACTCTAAGAAACCCCACTACTTGAAACTTATCAACTTCATATACTGCACCATGAATGCAGAAAACCAGATAAAAGCTGCATACAAGGTAATTAAGCCTAATATATGAGTAAACTCATACATTTGTTTTAAAAAATGTTTCAAGGACAGAAATTTATCTGTTATTTTTTTTGTGACATATATACCTGAACTGCGCTGCTAGTAAAAAATACCCCCGCCGCAGCAAACCTGCAGACTAAGCGAATTTCCATTAACCTGATTGGATTTACACTAAAATGCCTCCATAAAAATAGCACATTTATTTCCTATTTAAATAGCCTAGAATTAGTTTAACGAGTACTTAGGTTTGCTGCAATAGGGAGGGTAAAAAAGATGTTTTATAAAATAGTAATAGTTTAGCAAGAAATAAAAGTATTTTCCAAAATCAATCAAAATATGTTCATAAACAAGCAAACTACAACAGTTGACTTATTCTCCATAAGAATAACATGGGAATTTTAAAATTACAATTTTTTTGAATTTTCTCCGTAACAATTAGGCGCATAATAACGCTTCAATATACTAAATTATTTGTTTTTTTAAGCTCTACAAAATGGTTTAAAAAGAAATTGTGAAATTTTGTGTTTTTAGGGTCAAAAATGGGAAAAACCTATTTTTACCCCATAAAACCCCCCATAAACCCCCGTTCCCATAGTCCGATCATGCTGGTTCGCGAACTCATTCAAGTTTATCCCACCTTACACCTTCAAACCAAATTTTATCAAAATCGGACAAAAATTACTCAAGTTATCGTGCGGATGGACACATATATATAGATATATAAAAATTTGAACGAATGGTGTTTTTGGCCTCTGGGGACATCAAAATGAAAAAGTAAATCGGTCCCGGGCTTACCATGGTTAGGTCTTACCATGAGACCTACGGTAATAGCTACTTCCCTATAGGGAAATTCGCTAATACTTCCCTATAGGGAAATTCGCTAAAAGACTATCGTAAACCCTCATCCTACTCCTACTAATATTATAAATGAGAAAGTTTGGATGTATGGATGTATGGATGTATGGATGTATGTTTGTGACAAGTGAACGCGAAAAATACTGGTCGGATTGGGTTGAAATTTGGCATGATGATAGCTCACATTCCCGATTAACATATAGGCATATTCTTATTTCAAAAATCCTTTTGGGCTCCACCCCAGTGGCTCTGGAGTTTCCCATGTTAACCTTATGAGAAATGAAATTATTGAATCTTAACAGCTGTTTCAATTAAACAAGTTGGTTCTGTTCTGTGATGTTCAATAGCATTAAAGTTACAAAAATTACCAACAGGGTGCAGCACTATTATTTCTTTTACAATTTATGACAACAGCTAATTTGCAACCAAAAGGTGAGTGAGCGTAGCGAACGAACTTCAACCTGGAGGCGAGTTAGCGTAGCGAACGAGCTAACCTGAAGGCAAGTGAGCGCAGCGAACGAGCTCCAACCTAAAGGTGAGTGAGCGTAGCGAACGAGCTCCAACCTAAAGGTGAGTGAGCGTAGCGAACAAACTTCAACCAGGACGTGATTGAGCCATGCGAACGAGATAATCTTGAAAATTAAGAAGTTAAACGGGGCAAAGCCCGCGGGTTACAGCTAGTTTATCATAAAACCAGATGAGATTTCTACTTGTAAGTTGCAAAGAGTAATGAAATTATAGATGTGCAAGCTGGAGATTTCCATTTAAGCCGGGCTTGAGTCAAGCTTTTGTATATAATTTTAAAATATATAGAATAATTTTGAAATTAGAACACAACGAAACAACCAAAAACAAATTCAAAGAACTGAAAATTTTAACGGTATATGGCCAATTTATTTACGACACAATTATTCTAGCAAAAAACTCCTTGAGCACCTCTGAGACAAATTATCACCCATACAACACTCGGCATAAAAAATTCCTTATTTCAAGTAAACACAAATTAAAATTCTATGAAAAAAACCATCCTATATAGGATTAAAATTTTTTAAGCATCTTCCTAATGAAATCAGAAATGAACAAAGCAGGAAGAATTTCATGAGAAAACTAAAACTTTATTTAGTAGAGAAAGCGTTATATTCCCTGGAAGAGTATTTTTCCACCTCCCTTCTTAGCGTTAGTAATTAATTCAGTTTTGATTATTTTCATTTCCTGGTTCTTGGTTTTTAATGTACATAATGATCCAAGATATGCAAATTTGTAAATTATTAATTTAAGATAGATTTAAGTTTGTTGACGCCATTCAATGTACAAAACTGTACTTTATGAATAAAGCATATTTGATTTGATTTGATTTGATTTGATTATTATGTGTTGTAATGTCATATAGTAAGATGACGTGTCATAATTCTTCTTTTCAAAATGCAATTAAAGTTAAATGATGAAGATCAAGAATACAAATCAATTCTAAACTTATAATTATTAAAATTAATCATGTATTGAAATTAACTGCATGGAGAAGTAAGGTATAGAGGAAACATGCTTATGGGACGAATGCACTCTTTTAGCTCTAGATTGTTGTGCCAGAAATATACTTGTAATGAGCAAGGAAGAGCCCCAGGGGCGAGTGGAAATTAAATTCCTATTGCACAGGGCACAAGGTCTTCCTCCACCGTGAGCGTTGTAGTACATGAGGGAGAGGGAGGCAGTGTTGGACTTTACCTTAGACACCAGTGACTAGTGCTAGACACAGCACTTAAGTCTACCACTGATTGTTTGTTCTGTACTTACTTCTCTGTGCTATAAGTAAAATGCATTAGAATTATATCGCTAAATGTAATCCAATCTTATCTAAATCTAAATCTACTCACTTCACAGTAGGGGGCGAGCGGGTCTAGTGACCAGAGCGTGTGGGACTTCGGTCCTTGAGGTCCCGGGCTCAAATCCCACGACCAATGGATTTTATCCAAGTGATAACGCCCCAACACCTGGTCTAGCCTGAAGTAATGTGAAAAAGAATTCCGGGCTCGTGCCTAGCATCCTAGGACAAAAAAATGAATATTTCCTGCAAATGGCACAGACACAATCGTGTAGTAATCTTTTGACCGAACAACCTTTGCTAAAGTTTTCTGCCCCATCTGAAAACGTCAAAACACGTTTAAACGGTTATAACTAGAAAGCAGTAAGATAAAGCATTTTAAGGTTGATTTGCAGTAAGATTCTAGTAAAGATTTGAAAGAATTTTTCATGGTCAGGAATGACATTTTTCTACAAGACACTTATGTGTTTTCAGATAAACGCACCCCTTCACAAAAAAAAAAAACGCCCTCCTTTAAAAAATTTTCATTTATTTTCAAATTTTCAATTGTTTTTACAACTTTTTCTACCTAACATTTTTATTGCATGTTTGTTTATTGTTAGTTCATCTAAAGGACACCATATTAACCACCTGTAAATGGTATGTAAAAAAACTTTAATGGTTACTCTTTAGTATAGAATTAACCTCATGTCCATATAATTATTAGTTTTAAAATTATAAACCTACAAAACCGGATGATTCTTTTTGAAATATCCTGTATTATAAAACCTTAAAAACCATGTTTTACAGTACATAAAAAAACAATTCAATGTATAACTTACCACAAAGAATGGTGTGAGGAAAATATTCTGACGATGTTCACAGTGTGCTCAACAAACTTCGGTCAACTACGCAAGAATGATCCGTTGTTATGTGGATGGGACAGGAGACAAGCTTATAGAGGATTATGGGTACAGGACTGCAGCATTGAACCCTACTCTTTCATGGGTACCCACCATCGTCTTCAATGACGTGCGTAACATTGGATATACTTAAGTAAATTTTATTCAATAGCTGCCAAATGAAGCCAAACGCTGGCATCATTTTTGATTAGCAAATATAAACTTAGAAACATTTCATGTTAAATTATTTTGAGAGAATGCTACATGCATCCAAAGTAATATTATAATTTGGCGCAAACAATTGCTACAGCCACCACATCCAAAGTAGCTTTTGTTTAATTTGTTTAAAACTGTCGTAAAAACACATAGACTATTAAATTAAAAAATAAATTATAAAAACAAAAGTTTTTTAATGGTTTCATTTTTTAAAATATAACCTACTGACTGATCAATCTTTTAAGTAATTCTAGTGTATAGGTTTACTGATGAAAATAAACAACTAAACACATCAAACAAAGACTTTTCAGATACACTTTCTCCATGTAGTCGAGTCTTAGTGGAAGAAGGAGCGAGTACAATCCGGATATCCTTTGCTATAATCCATTTACCTCAGCAAGATTAGACTGCTGTTTAAGCCTTTCTACCAAAAGAACTTAAAAACCGGCTTAAAACCATCTTTACAATAACATTTTAAAACATTTGATTTTCTATTTTTCAGGTGTTCAACAAAACAGAAAGTGATGAAGCTCAACAAAATCTGTACGGCGTAGTTTGCAGATACAATCCTGACGCTTGCACTTAAGAAATATCAACTTGGAAATTATAGGAAAAAGTTATACTAAGCCAAAATATTAAATAAAGGACAAAAATATATACAATTATATTAACTTGGATCTATAGATATATAATATATTATGCTTGTATGTACCACTTGCCTTTATTTTTATGTGACTGTGAAAAATAAATTTATTAAAATGCTTGTCATGTAATAAGCCTCTTTAAACACTTCAAACCCGTAACTGTAGTTATAGAGATAGGTAATTAGGTAGTTGAATACAGGCAAATGTTCACGCTTTATAACTTAGTCAATTAGATTTAAGTAAAATTTTCAGTAGTAAGTCAATAAATAAAATTATTTAAATGGGTTCAAATCTCTTTTGCTTTTGAGAAGAAAATATCCAAATTTTTGTAAATATTTATGTGTCTCTGAAACATAAAGCATAAAAAAATCTCTTACCAAAATTATTTACCTCAAATTAATTAGCAGTTTCAATGCAGGATAACTTAATACACTTAATAAGCAGAATGCAAATTTGAAACTTTTATTTAATTACCTTCAATAAGGTCCAAAAGTGAAAAAATCTGTTTTTTAAGAAACCAACTAGAAATTTTTAAGAGGCTATCGACCTCTTCTAACCTTGCGTTTGTTTGAGGATGGGCCTCTAAGGTCTTTTCATGTAATATTAAGTAGAATGTATCCAACAAAGCAGGAGGTAAGACGGTACAGTACAGTGTAAGAACTATTAAAATTAGAAGTAGCAACACTAGAACCTGATCTCACGTCATCGCTGCCTTATTTTTAGTTGTTTTAGTCTGTTGCGCTATTGGCTGAGCTATCAACTCAACATACTTTTTTTTAAGTATTTGAACCCAAAACCTCGTGGACCAAAGCCACATGCTCTACCCACTGCAATACTGGAAACTTGTAGCACTGCTAATCGCTGCCACCACCAAAAGTTTTCTCAAAAGGTACCAAATTACTAAAATAAACAATATATTAAAAAACAAAACTCATTTATTATGTATATAAATAACAATTTCAGTAATTATATAAATAATTGTAGTAATCATGTAAGGAAATTAATAGAACGTTATAAATAAATTGCACTAGTATACAGATTCATCATATTTGCGTAACCAGGCTTGTTATAAGGTTGATGAGAGCCAAAGCTTTTTGATTCACTTACTTACTTTTTGATACAATTACGTAACAGCTGCTTGTTTGCTTTAGCAAAATTAAAAAAGTTGTTGGAAAACGTTTTGAGACGTTATCTTAAGATAAAAAGTATTTTAGTTTTCTAACTAAGTTTGCATAGTGGTGCATTATGACAACAAATATAGTTTATCACATAGGCAAAAAAGGTTTTTCAATCTTCGCTCTTTTTTTACCTTGGCTTCTCCTTGCTCGTGCAACTTGAGCTCGGTTTGAAAAGATTCACTTTAGGCACCAAAAATATTTGACCATAAGTTTGACTTAATTTATATTTATTTAGTAAACATTATATGTTTATGTATAAAAAAAACTAACAGCTAAAAATGTAAACAAATGAACACATGCCTGTGAAATTATTAAATAATTCATACTTGCATATCTGCAATGAAACTCATATACTTAATATTTGACTATTTCAGTCAACCGTTAATTTTTCATAGTAGCTTATCTATAAAAATTACAAATCCCAACCAGAAGGATAGCAATTGGTTTGTGACAATGATTGATTTAATTTTTATAATACTTCAAGTTTTGATAAAAGAAAATACAATCGACAGATTGTTTATAAGATACCTTATCAAACGAGTGTGGGATTAAAATAAAATATTTGTTACTTGATAAGTTTTTTGAGACTTTTGGAAGATGTAACTTAGCCTACTATGCAATTTTGCAGGTTTCCAATAAAAAAAAAAACTAAAAAAATTGTTGTGAAAAAATACAATAAAACAATGTTCAACTTTTTCATTCATAATTTAAATTATTTCACTTTGATATATTTATTTGTATTGTTAATATAATGATATGATAAAACGTAAATCATTACACGAATAAATGTTTTTACTATAATGGATTAAAACTAATAATTTATTCATATGTACAAAAACAAGATTAAGACACATTTTCTAATAATATAAATCTATATAATAACAAGAATAGAGTACATTCGATAACAAATTAAACCAAGAAATACACCTCAAAATAATATACCGAGCATTCAATTATGTACAAGATAGTAATGCATACATACAACAGTATAACACCATATAAAATATTGGAATGTGTCATTCATGTATTGGACATATAACCTCAAGCATACCGAATTGAGAATATTATAAACAAATACTTTAATTTGCATTCATTGAGGTGGCATTTTTGTCCTTTAATCATAACACAAAATAATAAAAAAAACTGCTTGCTTTTGGACTACTTGCATTATTGAAGTACACTTGCATGGCATTGAATTTTAAACTGATCTTTTTCAAATTTTAATTTTACAACTTTAATAAAAATAATTAGTTTAATTAGAAGTTTTAAATAACGTAATCAGGCAACATCACTATTGTAAAAACTGTTACAGATAACATTTTACTCATTCTACTACTTTGGGAAGTTATCTTTGTCTTTGACAGAACAATTAAGTTAAATATTTCCAGCCTAAGAGAAGTTGAAACTTAAAGTAACAAGTTATCAAGAAAAAAGTAATGAATACACATTTTGAGAGACTATCTTACTCATGAACAGATTTCCAGGCAGATAATAGCACACAAAAAGTTCACAATGATTAACTTGATATTTTGGCTCTAAAGGGCTTCCTTAAAAATAAGTAGTAGAACAGTTACAAAATTTGTTTGGTTTTTTAAACTGCCATTCTACTACAGCCCCTTCAGAGGACGAAACGTTGGACTTTTTGCATGCTATCTGGAATGTTTTTTCATGATTTTGATCTACCGGTATCCATTCCTTCCTCAAAGCATTCCTAATCCTAAGCCAAGCGTTCTTTCTTCAAAAAACCGAGTTAGTTAACAGTTTATCTAGAGGTGGTCAAGTGGACAAGATAGTTTGTATCTCGATGAGCAGTGACTGAGCCAAGCTCTCGGAGGAACTCTTGGCTTGGACTGTGAGTTGTTGCGGGTCTGACTTGACTAGTAGACAAACCTGGTGTCCCGATAAGGAGGTGGTGAACAGTGAGGCAGCTTGATCTACTTGCTCTACTACAGTCAGACGACATTTGGAGCTCACTAGACTCACCATCTGTGTAACAGCAACGATGCATGTCAAAGTTTAGCAGGCGTTGATCATAGGAGGGGGGAGATATTGTGAAGAGGAAGTGTTTGGCAATGTTGTACGATTTGGAAGTGTTGTTGAACAAAAATTTTTCGTGACCTACAGTGGATTAGGTTGGTGCACTTGGACTGGGGTCAGTTTTGTAGTGGTGTGGATTGGAGGATAGGGTAATGCTGGGGGAGCTAGAGCCCAAAGCCTTTGGCGTTGAGTCCATTTAAGACTATTCAAATTTGGGGTTAAACGTATTTTATCAAATTGGGGTTTAAAATTGTACACAGTTCTAGTCTACTTGACCTTTTTGTCCGTTATTAATTTGTCTGCTTTGTATTATTTAATTTGTGGGCTAATCAAGTTGGGTTTTGTAATCGAGTTCTGAATTCAATTCCTGAGTTACATCGCCAAAGTAACAGTGAGCCGGGCCTCAACCCTGAGGTTACCTACTTTTACAGCATTATGAAAGAATCTGATTACGAATTAGTTATAACATCCTACCATTCCACGACAATCAACCTTTTTCACCATGTCAGAGTTTTTAAGCTTCTTACCCTTGATAACTTTCAAATAAAAATATTTAAAGTTGACATTTATACTTTATCACAAAGTTAGATTTTTCAATTTAAATCTTTTTCATACCTGAGGAAAGTCCCTAGCGACCACGGGACGTAGTGTGATACTACTCTGGTGCGTCAGTTGACCTTCGGACAGGAGACTAGAGAACGCATCCTGGCTTATCTTGGTATCTCTCAGGAAAGCCGTCACTCCAACTTGCAGCCAGAAGTCCACCTTGTCTTGGACAGCGCTGCCATCTTGAACCTAGAGGAAAATACTGTTTAGACAAAACATGAATGGCACATTGGCTGTCGAGCACTACTAAACGATGCATTTTTTATTTGAAGTCTTCGGGGTCATATGTTGGGTCAAAATCAAGGGGTAGCGGATTTTTATCCCCCTGGAATTTTACCCCCTGGGCAAACAAGACGTCACAAACCAGGGGGCAAAATTCCGGCCGCGAACTTCTGAGTTTCGCGACATCAGCTCGATGGATTAAACGCGAAATTAAACATATATTTTCACGGTTGGGAATTTAATCAGAACACATCAAATTATAAAAACCTAGAGTGTACGGCTCGGAATTTTACCCCCGGAATTTTACCCCCCGGAATTTTACCCCCGGAATTTACCCCCAGATTTTTACCCCCCGAAATTTTACCCCCGAAATTTTCCCCCCTGGCCAGATATATAATTTAGTGAGAATGAATAATTATCTTCATTCTGTTTTAATTTAATAGTAAACATTTTATTATTAAGTAGCCTATATTAATTTATTTGTAACATTAACTAACCGAACAGGTTTTTAATTTTAATTTTAAGATTCTAGTATTAGGATTCGATCTTTGAAGCTAACAGTTGGTTAATATGACGTATAAACAATCAACTGAATGATAATTTTTTCGAACATTTCTTTACAAAATAAATAAATAAAGATAGTCTACTAAATAATGAAATGTTTACAATTAATTAAAAACAGAAATAAGAAAATCAAACATTCAATTTCTAAAATGGGCCAGGGGGTAAAAATCCGGGGGTAAAAATCCGGGGGTAAAAATCCGGGGGTAAAAATCCGGGGGTAAAATTCCGGGGGTAAAATTCCGGGGGGTAAAAATCCGGCCCGTACATCTTCAGTCGTCTAAACGCTAGTTATATGGATAGGGGGTAAAATTCCGGTTTTTATTGATAATCTAATTAATCACGCTCTGTCTATTTTCATTAGACTTCCAAATCCGCGGGGGTAAAATTCCGGCCGCGAACAAACTTTTGGCCACTCAGGATACTACGTCATAGTGACATCAGCTTTGCCGAGGGGGTAAAATTCCAGGGGGATAAAATTCCGGCGACTCAAAATCAATCTTCACCTTATTTTGGAACAAGACAAGT